TTTTATAGGTGACACAATATCTTTACTAAAAGTAAATCATCTCTCAGGTCTAACTTTTATTTGCTGTAAATAAGGAATGTGTATAAGCAGACATAGTAAATACATTTATAATCTATTCTTTTCTATATTCAATTAGATTCAATTTTAGCTATAACCAAATATTACTTTGAATTTACTTTCCACAAGTTTGAAAAATACATATCTTCATACTTACTTCTCTTTCTGTTTTCTCGTTTTCGTAGTGATGCAGTTTTTCTTCTGAATGATTACATTCATTGATTAACTCCTTGTTTCTCTCTTCTACTATGAGACTTCCTTTTTTACTCTGAGCTTGGGGTTTTCTTACAATATCGTGACACTGGTGTTGGATATTAATTACTGTCTTTTCTTTATGATCAGCTTTGTTGCGAGCTTCATCCAGTTGCTGTCGAAGCAACACATTTTCATGTTGTAGTTGTGATAATCTCTCCTCTACAGATTGCTGCTTTCCAGTGCATTCATTCACTTTACTTTGTTCATTATGATACATGTGTTCAGTTTCCTTCATTTGACACTGTGTTTGGCTTAGGTCTCTTTTTACACCTTCTAAGACCAAAGTCTGTTCTCTGAGAGCATCTCTTGTGTGATGGAACTCAATTTTTAGACTATTAGATCTACTTTCAGCTTTAGAAAGTTTTTGAGAAAGAAATTCATTTTTATCTTTTAGTTTAGACAAATCAAAATTCATTTTTTCCTGTAAATGAAAACACTCATCTTCAGCTTTCTGCAAAGCAAGTTCTAGGTCCCTTTCAGATATCTGACTTTGATCATGATCTTGTATAGCTGCAGGCAGTCGAGAGTGGTATGATTCAACTACTGTTTCCAGTCTTTCCTTGTTTTGTTCTTCATTCTCCAGTTTAGAATTTAGCACCATATTCTCATCTGTCAGAACACGAATCTGTCCAATGTACTGGAATATTTTTTTTGCTGATGTTTCCTCATTTAGTTTCATTATCTTTTGAAGGTCATCACTCTTTTCTTTTACAATTTCAATGTCCCTGGAATATTTCTTCTCCTTCTCCTGGTATTGATTTTTTATTGTGTCTATTTCCAGTCTTAGCTTGGCAATTTCATCTTGCAACATGTCATTTTTATGCCACAGATCTTCTGTATGACTATCAGAAATCTGAGTAAAACAAAGGACACTTTCAGTTAGCACCAAATAAAATGATATCATGATTTTCTCTGAAATTAAAGAATAACCTGTATGTTTGTAAGATGAAAGTGTTGCAATAAGTGGATATTCAC